TATATATATTGCCCTCTTAATCCACAGCTGCCTGGGTGCTGGTCAACACATTAGTATGCAGTGAACAAACAAGCCACACTCCAAGGACTTCATTTTGAAAAATAAAGGTGAAGTTTTATTCTCAACGTTGCGGCTCCTTAAGTGGGGCCGTCTTCAGGAGACTCTGCTGAAGACGGCCCCAGTTAAGGAGCCAAAACGTTGAAATAAAACTTCACCTTTATTTTTCAAAATGAAGTCCTTGGAGTGCGGCTTGTTTGTTCACTATATAGATATAGATCTAGATCTAGATATGTGTTGGAGCTGCCTCCAATCACTACGTTTATTAAATTTTCAGAATAAAATGCCCTTATTCCTGGCATGTTTGCCCCATAAAAACCCCTTTCTGTCTCTATTCTCCTCAGAGCCAGAGCCACTTAGTATTCTGTCCCTAATGCTTTTTCTTTTTACTTACAGACGCTGTACTCCGTCCTGAAGGACTTCAGGGCGGAATATACGGATTTTGAGGCCCTCGCTTCTTATTATGGTAAAATCCTCTATTATTTATCAGTTCCTAAGGTTGTGCCATTGTTTTATTATTTGTGAATTCCTTTCCCCCTTTAGCTCAGTATTTAACTGAATTGTGTTTTTCCCGCAGAACATCACTATCGGGTCGAATTCGGCGAGAACATCATCCTGTAAGTAAAACATAAATGGACTTTTTACATGTTGGGAATCATTTGCTATTGCCCCAGGGGTAACTGCAAGGGCAATACGGCTGGAAAGTGTTTTATTAACATTCAGTGATATCTTTCTTTTTCAGAAAGCACTTCCTTCTAACATGCGATGTGGACCCGAGGATGAGGGCCAAAGAGAACGTTATGCATTACTGGAAAATGCTCCACTCGCTGGTATGTAATGCAGAATAGATGTTTAGATGAATAGGGAACAAATGATATTAGATTGCCAGCTCTTATCTCACGCTGCTTCTTTCTTTATGTTACAGGAAGTGATCAAGAGGGAATATGCCGCCCTCAGGAAATCTGCCAAGCTGCCTCCTGTAAGTGTCACTAGTATAATTATTATTATAGGAGAGGTTAATATTCACTGTGTGTCTCTATAATAATCTAGAACATTATTATTCATTGTATCTCCTGCTCCCCTGGGGGCATCTAAAGTCTCCCATCCAAGTGCCATTTTCACCAGAAACAAAAATGGTTTCATCACAAGCGTTCACATGGCCACAATAATGGCATTGGTACAAAGAAGCGCTTAACATTGACTCTCTTCTTCCACAGGATCATCCAACTCGAGTGCGAAACCGGAGGAAGCAGCTTGAGTATTTGCGGCTGGAGAATGTAAGTTCACCTGGGATCACTGTCCCTGATGCTTTTCTTGGGTGTTTAACCGCTAGATAATGAACTTTGATTGGTCTATTGCAATCGGGACAACGGCACAAGGGGTTATTTGGGGTTTTTTCTCCCTATGATGAGAAAAGGCTGATGCTCATAATTACAATATCACAACATCAGCTGCCGGCAGGGAATCCCACACCCTCACTGCCCTCAGCATATAAAGGTACTATTAGCAGCACATATACAGGCATAATCCTAATTGTCTCCTTTCTTTCCCCTTTGCTCCTATCCTTGTGCCTCCCCTGCGCTCACAGACTATCAACCAACATCTGACCCAGCTTCACCATGAGTTCTTGAGGGAGCTGAAGCTAAAGAAAGCTGCTCGGTATGTATTTTGCAATTAACACTTTCAATTACACTTACTGGCACATAACATATTCAAAAAAAAAATAGATGTTTTCTCGTACCTCCGGGTGCTTTTGGCCATACTGATAGCACAGAAACTTGTTAAACTTTTTTAGGTCCCTACAACCATAGCATGTATCTCAGCATGTATCACTGGGTGAAGTCTAGCATGGAACTTACTCAGCTCAGTAACTGCCCAATGTGTTACAGTAGGGACAGGTGTGTAGCAGGTATAATGATATTTCTTAGGTACAAGGCTATCTGGCTATTTTAGTCATCCAGTGATCAGAATTGTAGTTGCAATACTTTGGAAACAAATTACAACAATGACCCATTTTTTTCATTTTATTCCCTTTGAACCTAGTAAGAAACAAGTACACAGTCTTGCAGCTGAAGAAAAGGAGGATGGAGCCCCT